GGTCCATGGGCTGCAGGCGTGGCCGGCTGAATTCCACGCGTGGATTTTATACTCGCACGGCGTCCATGGCTGCAGGCCGGCGTCGCTGCACGCAAACGCATCCCTGTCCCACGTGTACTCCGTGCAGACAATGTCCGCATCTGTCCGATTCCCCCCGAAGCACCTGCGGATCACTTCGTAGCGGGTGATCTTCCCGTTCGGGTGGCCGGGCTCCGACCAGGTCCAGGCGGCGGAGGAGGAACCGGCGGCTCAGGCCCGTGTACTCCAGGCTGCCGGCGCTGAAGACGTTGTAGGTCTGCAGCGAGAAGAGAAGCACAGGGAGGGTGTCGGTGGCATTTGGTTTTTTGGTGCGGCTACCTCGTCCCTTTAACCTGTCCCCACTGCTAGTCCTCACCCTGATGACCCTCATCCGGAAAGAATGGTCCGATACTAACTTTTGGAATATGATGTAAAGTCCATAGAAAGAGAAGGAATGTTTTCCTTTGCTTGTTTTTTTAAAGGTTGGATATTCGATAAGCATATATCTACAAGCTAAGGGCTGCAGAACATGAATCCTTGACTTAAATGAGTGCTTGTGGGGTTTCCTCCTATTTGTATTTTTTAAAAGGTAGGGAATAGCCTAGCCAGCATGGCTCAGTGGTTAAGCGCTGACCTATGAACCAGGAGGTCATGGTTCAATTCCAGGTCAGGGCATATGACTGGGGTGTTGGCTCGATCCCCAGTAAGGGGCGTGCAGGGGGCAGCCAATCAATGATTCTCTCTCATCATTGATGTTTCTATCTCTCTCTCCCTCTCCCTCCCTTTCTGAAATCAATAAAAATATATTTTTTTTAAAAAGGAGGGAATAGCACTCAAATTCCCTCTTTTACAGGTGCTAAGTGCCCTGGCTCATCCTGAGTAGGTTAAGTAGGTCCCATCCACACTGTCCATCTCCCATGACATTTCCTGGGAAATGGAATTACAGTGCTTCAGCATTCGTACCGGGGCGCCAGGGCTGTGTGTGTGTGTGTGTGTGTGTGTGTGTGTGTGTGTGATTGTGTGTGTAGGCACACACACGTATACATTCATACATAAATTCAGATACCACCTTGGATGACGAGAAGCTGGAAATTGCCACTGTATTAATTATCTTATAGGCCATACAAGAATTGCCTGTTCCGTGGAGAGAAGTATTTTGTTTTGGTTCTGAGGGGACCCATCTGAATACTCCTCATACAAGCACAGAGCACGTTTCCATCCCACACTACCTAGTGCTTTTTGGAGAAAATGACAAGTAGCTTAGCCTGAAGGCTGGTGCCATCTTTGAGGTGTTACCTGAATCACGCCGTTGGCCCGCACGGGCTCCGACCACCGCAGCAGCAAGGCCCGGCCGCCCGCCCTCTGCTCCACCGTGAAGTTGCTCAGTCCACTTGGGGAAGATTCCGGGGTCTGGACCAGAGTCCAGGGGCTGGACACCTCTCCTGCCTCGTTGGCGGCCACGACACCAACGTGATACGTTGTGAAGGGTTCTAACCCGAACAGGTGCGCCTGATGGCTTGTTCCCTGTAAGAAAATGGACAGGTTGGTTTGCTCTTACAAACGGCTAAGGACAGCTGGGAAGTCATTCAATGAGACACATTGGTGATGGCAGACAAATATCACAGCAGAGGTTTGAATTATTAAGAAAACAACAGGATTTTTTTCTTGTTCTTTTTAAAAAAATATGTTTTTATTGATATTAGAGAGAGGGGAAGGGAGGAGAGAGAGAGAGAAACATCGATAAGAGAGAAACAACACTGATGGGCTGCCTCCTGCTCGGCCCCTTCTGGGGATTGAGCCTGCAACCCCCGTCACGTGCCCTGACCAGGAATCGAACCTGTGACCTCTTGGTTCCTGGGTTGATGCTTAACCACTGAGCCACACCAGCCAAGTTTTTATCTTGTTCTTGACACCTTGGTTGTGTGATTTCAGACACATACAAAGTGTGGGTCGGAGGGGATCCTTGCCTTTTCAGAGGTTACAACCTATGGGATGTGACACAGAATCTAAAGAAAAAATTCTATGATGCCTTAGAGATCACCGGCTCACAATGGAATGTGTGGAGACTTAACCTGAACAACCTAATCCTCTCTCCCCAGCTCCCCAGCTGCTTGTTTATACAAACGACTGCCCACCTCCCCCATCTTCTCTCTCATTCTTTTGGTGATTTAGATCTTCCAATAAAGCAAACCCAAGAAAACAACAAGCCAACTGGACTATTAAATGCACAGGCCCGTACAGAAGTCTACCGTTAACACAAATGTGAAAATATTGGCATTCGTTAACAATGCCATAACCGAAACTATGAAACGTACCCCAAGTAACTGTAAGCTAGGCTTTGAGAATTTGGACTTTGTTGACTTAAAATAAAATGAAAGAACGCAAGAATGAGTTTTTGTGTGTGTTCTGTTTCTGCTCGGAGAGCAATATTTAACATATTTTGCATAACTTAACTGGAGCTTAGAATCTTAATGTTTTGAAAGAGCCCAGAATGCTTTTTCTACATCTGGGCTGGATGGATATGTGTTTACAGATAGGAATTATGTCTGCAAGTGGACCAGTAATGTGTGTACACACACACACACACACACACACACACAC